AATATGTTGTCGTTGTTGTTATGAGTTATGTGTATGTGATTATGCATAAATATGTTGTTGTTGTTATGGGTTATGTGTGTGATTATACATAAATATGTTGTTGTTGTTGTTATGAGTTTTGTCTGTGTGATTATGCATAAGTATGTTGTTGTTGTTGTTATGAGTTATGTGTGTGTGATTATAAATAAATATGTTGTTGTTGCTATGAGTTGTGTGTGTGATTATGCATAAATATGTTGTTGTTGTTGTTATGATTTATGTGTGTGTGATTGTGCATAAGTATGTTGTTGTTGTTATGAGTTATGTGTGTGAAATTATGCACAAGTATGTTGTTGTTGTTGTTATGAGTTATGTGTGTGTGTGATTATGCATAAATATGTTGTTGTTGTTTGAGTTGTGTGTGTAGTTATACATAGGCATGTTGTTGTTGTTGTTGGACATGAGCTAGTCTTTGGGTTATGTGTGTGTATGTATGTATAAGTATGTTTTTATTTATTGGGTGGAGCACCACTGCATAGCTAATACTAAACCTAACCCTAAACTCTAAACCTTACTCTCCTGCTATCTCAGAAATCAATGTTTCTATATAGGAAGCACGAGTTGAAGCATCCTGCATTATATTATTTTGTGTATCCGTGGTGGAGTGTACCTAGACGTAATCATGGGCCTGAATAAAGCCTCACACAACCGCAGTTACATATAACGTCAGGTGGCACATTATCCCGGGTCCCAAGTCTGTCCATGACTCATCGATGACTCATCCCATACTTTTTTTATACCTACCTACAGATGCGCCAGACCAAACCGAAACCGAGCACCTGCGCGCCAACGCCATCATCGGGCTGATGGGTGTGTACAAGAGTGTGTTGCGAAAGGGAGACCACGACGCAGCGATCATTGCGCAGAGGAACAAATTTAGAAACGGCACAAGTGATGGGGAGAACGCCCTCACAGCCACCGGTGGTACGATCCAAGGTGTGTGTTGGGGGGTGGGGGGTAGTGGTGTGTGGATGGGTGTGTGGGTTGTATGTATGTGTGTATGTGATTGTATAGAGAGAGGTTACTGTATACAAACATACACTTGTTTCATTTGTTGATGTATTTGTTCAGGGGCTGTGCTGGTATATATTATTACAACGCTACATATGCGAACGCAGCAGCTAGCAACGCGAATTGTGTGTAGGGTTTGTATGCGCTCATGTGGGCTTTACATGAATGTTTGGTTGTATATTACACGTTTTTAATATTACATTTGCATATGAATAGTTTGTATAATGTATACCTCTAAACAAGTTAATGTTATGATATACATTCCTAAATAAGATAACGTTATGATGTACATTCCTAAACAAGTTATTGCTGTAATGTACACCCCTGAATAGGTGAACGCTATGATGTACATCCTTAAACAAGTTGTTGCTGAAGTCTCATGTCTTCTCATTCGGATACAGAGCCTATGCTGACAGAAGGCGAAAGGAGAGCGGAAATGGTCTTCAAGTTGTTTTCCTTGCCTTTCCGCGACAGGTGAGTGGTACATTGCAAGTGTTATAGATCAAAACCTTACACATACACATACACGCACACACACATACACGCACGCACACACATGCACGC